GGGACTCTGCCACGAGCTAGGATGTGAGTTGGCTGTCGGGACTCTGCCACGAGCTAGGATGTGAGTGTGGCCAGCGCCAATTTTCCACCCTGGCCTTAGGTTCTTCAGCTCTGTCATGGGAGGGCTGGCCAGACAAGACCCTTTAATGATGTAAAGGATGGTAAGATTAATATATACAACTTTTCCTTTTAGAAGTCGCTTGGGTTTGATTTTCTTTTTCTGTTGGGGGACTCATGCATGCTGGGCAGCGCTCTACCACGGAGATTATCCACTTTAGATGGAAAAGAAAAAAATATTCAGGCTGGCTGTGGTGGCACGTACCTTTAATTCCAGCATTTGGGAGGCAGAGGCAGGCAGAGCTCTGTGAGTTCAAGGCCAGCCTGGTCTACATTGAGGCCCACAACAGTCAGGATTATACAGTAAGACACTACTTCCCAAGAGGGAGAGAGAAAAAGTAAATAATATTCTAACACAAGTGATGTAAGAACATCAACATTTATTTAACATGATAAAAAAGAAATGAGATCTGAACATGTGCATTTAGACAATAGCCCATGGCCTTTAGTACATTACATGTGCTCACTGTATATACACAATGAACATAATTACATCTGTACACGAACCAAGCACTGGGTTTGAAAGCCTGCTTATTGCTGTACACCTCTATTCCTATTCCACTGACGTGAAGCCCAGTACTTCAGTCCTAACTTGTGACTGTTTTGTTTAAGGTAAGCAATGACGTGTTTAAGCTGACGAGAGTGTGGCAGCAACAGCTGACACTGCAATCTGAGGAAGAATTAGAGCAGAAAACAGGACAGACTTCGCTTAGCAGTAACAAAATGGCACATTTTAAATATATTTATATAAAATTTTTACAAATCAAGTGTCAAACAAAGCATTGCAGTAGCCAAATGGGAAGAAAAAAGAAAGAAAACAAGCTTTGTTGGAAATGATAACTTTACTGAAAAGCAGAAAGAAATACAAAATCGCCTAGACGTCAGAAACATCGAATCTGGGAAGGAGACCGCAGGCTGGAAGCACCTTGCCGCATGTGCTCTGGCCTTAGCAGCAAGCTGGTGTCAGAACGACAGTCGTGGGGTACGGAGTGCACACATGGGCCATTAAAGCTGTTTTGGAATAAACATTTTCCAAAAGTGATAAAACGATGCTCTGTGGTCAAAAGCATCAGAACTATGAATTTCATAGATTTAAGATATACTGTACGGCATCTTCTTACATCGCGGAAGGTCCATAGCTTTAACTCTGCACCGTTTCAGAAGAAGTCAGAGTGGCTGGAAAACAAGTAAGAGGCAAATTACTCTGACGCCTGCAAAGCTAGTGAATGGCTATGTCCCAAAGTAACTAACAAAGACATGACAACAGAAGTGACAGGCATGGCTGGGAGACCCAACGCACACACAATGCATTCCCTTATTCCAACTCACGATGCAGAGAAGCATGATGCAATGAGACAGCAATCCAGAAAATGGCCCAAATCTGTCAAACTAAGAGATCAATAAAGTAGGCACAGATTTGCCCGACTTTACTACATTCTGCAGTTAATGTGGAGCTGCGTCTACAGCATCATTTGTGAGACTTTTCTATATTCTGCCAAAATCGTTAGTTCAGAAAAATGACGTTATAAGACATGAGCAGCAATACAAGTTCCCGCCAGTTAGTTGTATGTGACGGATGCACAACACGAGATGAGATGCAGGTGAGGCCTGCGTCTTATAACACTCATGCCTCTGGTACAGGAATCAAGTAAAACATAGTAAGAGCCAGTA